TGAACTCATATATAAGAGTTGACGTTTTTTGCACTGCAGTTAAGGTTTCCTTTGTTCTATAAAACATGGGGGTTTTAGGTGATGAGCCTGGGTCACTGATGATTTGACTCTTTGCAGTGGCTACAAGAGGAGTAAGTGTGGTGCTGTGCAGCATTGTGCCTCTCTGTGTGAAAGTATTCCCTGAAATACGTGTGTCGTGCTCCTGAAGATAAAGAAATTGAAAGCACAGCTTTGCACTCCTGCAGTGGTCAGCTATGGATTCAGCCCTGAGGCCTCTGCCTGGGGCAAGGCTGGGGAGGCTGAGGACACCAGGGCAGGTGGTGGCAGGAGGCAGCTCGGACCAGGCAGTTTTTGCTGCTTTTTCCTTTGTTGCCAGCGCATGTGTGGAAATGCCAAACCTGTCTGTGGGTGAAAGGAAATGTGACCCTTTGATGTGTTCATCTCATTTCCAGGAGCTGCCTTTGATTTAGGTAGGACTGTGCCCTACAGCACTGGCTCTCCTCAGCAAAAGCCCTCTTGTATGAAAATGCCACTCCTGAAATATCTGAAAATGTTAGCAGAAGGAATAGAAAAACACTGCATCTCTTCTTACTTAAAAAAAATAGAAAAAAAAGAAAAAAATAATATGTTCAGGTGACACCTATGAATCCAAGATCAAAAATATATTGGGTTTGAAAGTAAAAAGAAGTAGATGTGTTGTCTGGAGGTGGGATTTACTCTGTCTCGCAGTGGGTGGAGTGATTGTGTTTCTTCAATTAGCTCATGTATTTGCAATTTGAAAGAAAGGTTGTTTTGAATTATTCTGGCAGTGGAATCCAGTGTTATGTGGAAGCACCTTGGGGAGATGCAATGCTCTCCTGCACTGGGTTACTGGCAGGGCTGGTCTGCCCTCAAGCTGCAAAGACGTAATACATCTTATTACTTGAAAAAAAGGAAATTGCTAAGTAACTATGGTTATGTTTCTCAATGTGCTCTTTTAAAGAAGGATTTGTTCAAAAGCAGAGACTTTTTTCCCCAGGATTTTTATTGCAGAGATGGCACATATATCACATCCTGTCTTTCTTACCATTTCATGACATCGCTAGGCTTTCACCAAGTGGTGGGCATTGAAATTCTACCCTGAAATTCAAAAATGTTAAAAGAATAAACAGAGCCCAGAGCTGTAGATTGCCTGACTGCAGACTACTGCCTTTTCTGTCTCTTAAAGTTAATTGTATTGGAAATGTCATCCTCCTTGGAGCATCAAAGCCTGTAGCATGCACAGGATTTATTTTGCAATACAGACAAATTTTAACACTGTTTCTTGATATTAAGAAAAATTTTGTGGCTCTGCTCCCACAGTGCTGGTTCCCTCAGCCTGGGGCTCGTTCTCCTGAGCATCACCTTGAGTGAGAAGGTGACTTTACATCAGCAGGACTTGGTTGTTGAGGTGTGTTGAGGCAGTAGAACATGGCCTTGCTCCTCAGTCAGGTTGGAGCAGAGCTGGCTGTGCCGTGTTATCCCAAGGCCTTGTCTGTGGTTCATCCTCTCTGTGTAACCCAGCCCTCTCTGCAGGCTCTGCTCTTAGTCATGAGAACCAGGGAGACCTTGGAGCCATGTGCTGCTCTCGCAGGTCAGTTTGTGAAGCCCTTCCCAACCATGTGTGTGCCTGTTTGTCGACAAGAGGGGCCAGCCCTTGTCCGGGGAGTTTAAACAAGATAACTGGAGGGAAGAGAGAGCCTGCCATCCCTCCAGATAGCAGCGTCTGAGAGAGCACCGGCAAAGTATGATTTGTCGTCTGTGAAAAATGTTTGCGTTTGACAGCTTTTCACAGGAAACCTGTCAGAGTGATAATTTAATGAGTACAGATTGCTTGCAACACAGCTGTAAAACGTGCTTTTACAGTGCTGTAAAATAAGCAACCGAGGCCTTTGTGTGTTTGCTTTGTTTGAGAACAAGTCAACTTCTAATACAAATGAAAGGTGGTCATTTATTTTACCCAGCAAACAGTCAAGACGTAAGAGAGGAACCTGCCATTTTTCTTCTTGTGGTGGCAAGGTTAATGCTGGGTTATGTTGGTGTTTGCTAATCAGCTCATTTCTGTGGAGGGAGAGAATTAGTATCTAATTTGATATAGGGAGTTACTAGTCAGATTAGCATTTAACTCATAAGAAGGACTTCCAGGCTTTTTTCTTTTCCTTGCCGACATCTATGCCCACAGTTTGCACAGAGAAAAGATTAATGTTCCTTCTGGTGCCCAAGCTGATTTCTTGGGAGATGTGGAGATAGAAAATGAGGATGCAGAATTATACTGTGCCAATAGCTACACTAAAATGTATCTATAGATATAATTTAATTGTTGGTGGTTAAGAGTGCTGTGCGTTGCATGGAGAAAGATGCCATGCACATCCCACTGCTGGGTCCATCCCTGCTTGTTTAGTGGCCCTTCATTCCCAATGTCATGCTTGGCATCACCCCTCTCCAACATCCAACCCCACCTGCACCCCAGGAGCCTCGAGGTACCAGCAGTGGCAGCCAGTGGCCTAGCCACAGGTGCTGGTCACCAGGGCATCCTGTCTGGCATGCTCAGGGATACAGGCATGTGCTGACAGGGGTGGATGCTGACTCCAGGCTGTAGACACAACCTCCTCTGCCCTCCTCCCCTTCTTCTTGAAGCTTGAGCCAGAGACAACAGCACTGTGCATGCATGCTGCCTCCTTCAGGAGTGCTGCGTTGGGATCTTGGAAGTGCCTGGATTTGGTGGGAAGTTTTCATTTCCTTTATTTACCTTCCTTTTGGGCAAGGAAAAGCTGCTGGCTGGAAGGCTATAGGTGCACAGGTATTTGCTGCTAATTAGATTGCAGGTTTTTTTTCATGATAATTAATGAACATGCCTGGTTCTAGCCCACATGAAAAATTGTTAAGAGATGAAGAGCTCTAAAGCCTGGTTACGGTTTATTAAACTTCCACTTTGGAGTGTAACCAATAAAATGAGTTGGGCAGGAGAATAAATAGATTATGGTAATATGGGTGTATTACTTAAGATAACATTCTTGGCTTATAACATTGCTTTAGGTTCTTTAGACTGACGGTTGGAGCTATCTGATAGATTTGCTATCAATATCATTTCAAAAATCTAATTCTTTTTGAAGAGTTTGCTGACACATCTAGCTGGTTTTGTGCCTGGTACAGAAGTATTTAAATAAAGAACTTACTTGGTGATACTAAAAGGTCTGAGCAAAGGAAGGAAGTGAGCCTTCAAAATGATTAAGTGAATTAGAAATTAATATACACCAAGCTAATCTCTATAGTATAAACTGAACAGAAAAAAATCTTCCTGGAGAGGAAATGCCAGTCATGGGAACGAAAGTGGAGGTTCCTGCTGATATTGGGCAGAGGATGTGTTGGGTGTTTGAAATCAATCTCCTCTTCCCTGGATCATTTCTCTTGTGCTCCTAAGAGGCTGCATTATATACAGCCATGTCAGGCACTGAACCCCATGACTTTGTTCATCAGGAACTCATGGAATGTTTCAGTTTTTCCAGAAAATGTTTTCTGTGTTAGGCTTTGTTTGTACTGGAGCACTTTGAAGACGAAAATCTGAACTTCAGCATACTTTTAATGTCTTTTAACAAGGTTTAAATTTGCACTGGGCCAAAATATTCCCCCCCCCACGCCACCCCCCCCTTATAACAACTTCTAGCTCTAAGCATTGCTCCTTTGTGGATTTAGAAAACCACTGAGGCATGTTTTATTAAAAAATATTTATTGAATATGAGTCACAGAAAAGCAGAGGTCAGAATCCTCAATTGCTGGTGGCATGCATAAAATAATCTCCTTCCTCACCCAGCTGTGCCCGCTTCCCAGGGTGCCCATGCTCCCTGCAGGGCTGGAGCAAACAGGCATGGGAGGCTTTGTCCCAGTGGCACCTACCTTGCTCTCCTTAGCTGTCCCCAAGGCCATAGAGCAGGGAGTTTTTTCCAAAGTGCCCCAAATGCTTTTGGCCTAGTGGACCCCTCCCCTATTTTTTATTTTATCTCATCCATGCCAAGTCTCCAAGGCAAAGGCTTTGTGGCAGGGTAGTTTGTGCTTAGACCCACGTGTCAAGGTTGTGGTGATGTGTTCTTGGAGGAAGTGTTCTTCAAACTGCTTCTGCAGTGGTATCATCATTGGGTCAACTTGTTATCAGTGTTGGAGACACATGTGGCACTGCCAAGACATGGCAGCAGCCACTCTGGGCTGTCCAGTGCTCCTAGAGAGTGAACCAAAGTGGGGATTTGCTTTTAGAAAGTGATAAAAGTCACAAACCCTATCTGTCCTTTGTCATTTGAAAAATCTTTTGTTATTGTGCCAAGTGTTTAGTCCTTAGATTTTAAGCAAATTCCAGTATAATTGGGGGGGGGAGTTTCACACTGCCACAAACGTCTGAAGCCCCTTTTGCAATCAGAACCAATTGGGCAAGTGGTCAGGCCCTGCCCTGAGAGATGATGAACTTGCAGGATGGGAGAAAGAACCTGCAGGTAGATTTTAAAATTTGTTTTTAAATATATTAAAATTTGTTCAGTTTTGAGGCTGGTTTATGATAATCTTGGAAAATGAATTGTCAAGAACTGGAAAGAAGGATTCATTTGTGCAAAACATCTGTTTAACAAAACCACCTTTTTTCTTTCCAATATGTTGTTCTTTGAAATTACATCTTTTGAGATGCCTAAATGGGAACATCAGAAACTTTTGTGCTTTTTATTGGTTTTTGCTGACTCTTAATCATGATATTCATATTTGTATCAGGAGAGATTTCATTCATACAAGTCTTTCAGTCTACAGAGAGATTTGGGGATTGGTTTATGATGAGTAATCAAAAATTTTGAGATACAGACATAGATGAAAATTTCTGAGGGAGTCCTTTAATTTTCCATTTCAGTTTGATGATGCCAATCCTCCTGTTGAGCAGTGGTCGTAGGAGTGTGTGAACACACAACCAAGTGTCCATGTTTACCATATCTTCTCTCTGTCTTTCCTAGAATTCTTCAAAGAGCTCCTGGAGAACGCTGAGAAGTCTCTGAATGACATGTTTGTGCGGACGTACGGCCGACTGTACATGCAGAACTCGGAGCTCTTCAAGGACCTCTTTGTGGAGCTGAAGCGCTACTACGTGGGCGGCAACGTCAACCTGGAGGAGATGCTCAACGAGTTCTGGGCGCGCCTGCTGGAGCGCATGTTCCGGCTGGTCAACCCCCAGTACCACTTCACGGACGAGTACCTGGAGTGTGTCAGCAAGTACACGGAGCAGCTGAAGCCCTTCGGGGATGTGCCGCGCAAGCTCAAGCTGCAAGTGACGCGAGCCTTCGTGGCCGCCCGCACCTTCGCGCAGGGCCTGGCCGTCGCCAGGGATGTCATCAGCAAAGTGTCTGCGGTGAGCTCCGTCCCCTGACTGCTCGTCCCCGTGTCCCTTGGACCTGTGATGGGCAGCATCTCTCCCTGTTGTGCTGTTCCTAAAGGTGGTGGTGGTGGTTGAGCGCTACAGACGGACCCAGCTCCATCTGTGTAGGCTGGGCTGTGTGCTAGAGTCACATTCTGAGGACATCACTGCCCAGTGCTGCAGCCCAGTTCCCCAGCTGGATGCTTTCCTCCTGTCTAGGGAACAACAACAGCAGGAAATTAAATACCTTCTGCAGTGGAAATAACCATGTTTGCTTGTGTAATGGCCATATCTTCTTAATATTGCCTTTAAATTACAGTGAGTCAGGGATGCTACAGGCATCTATTATGGAGCAGCTGATGATTCGCTCCTCGCTGCAGGGCAGGGGGAGAGGCAGTTCACATGAACAAGCAGCACTTCTTGATAACAGTAAGCTAGAACTGTCTGCACAGGGCAGAAGCCATTTGTACTTGGTGCCACACATGCAGCACAAGTTAGACCTCAGACTTTTATAGTAAAGTCTCTTTCTGGGGGGATGAAACAGCTGCGATGTGCTGGTCACTTAAATGTTTACCTCTCTTCATATAAATCACTTTGGAGCTGTTTAAGTGGGGTGACTGCTTTTTTGCCATGAGATTTGTTTTTAATTTTAGTCTGAGTTGTATGGTAAAGGGAACAGTCAATAATCCCCTTGAAGTGATTATGTAAGATAACAAATATCAGTGATTTCCTTTTAACAAACTCAGCTCATTTCCTGTGGGCTGTGGAAGATTTATTATAATAATTTAATTGGGCAGAGAGACGTTTACTTTCTCTCTACCTGGTTATGGAGTAATAAAACGTGAGGCTGAAAGAGCAGGCAGGAGTTTGAATCACCCCAAGTTCCAGGGCAAAAACCCCACAAAATTATTCAGATACTATTAGAAGCAGAATGCAGTTCTGTAGGCAGCACAAACAGCATCCTTAAATGAGATAATCAGTCAAATTTCTTTGACTTATGGGGATAATATTAAAATACTGTCTTTGAGCATAGGGAAAAAAAATAAGTCTGCTTCCATATTAGTTTTTCTTGAAGATAAATGAGGCTAAGAGCCAGCAATAGGCCTGAACATGTATGAAGGAAGGAGTTTCTTAACAAAAATACCCAGACTCCAGGAGTGAGTTTTAAGTTATCAGTGACAAGTTTAGGTCCTTGGAGACCTTGACTCCCCACCAAATAGAGATGACTCTCAAGTTAGATTAATGTGCTGCTGGTTGAGGATGTGTGTGTGGAGCTCTGTGTGTGACATGTGGGGTCACTCTTATGAGATCACAAAAATTTTCAGCCTCAGGGATGCTGTTCTAGTGGAAGGGAGGGGTGGTCGCAGATGAAGTGTGATGTCTCTGTGCCAGGCCACTGGCCAAACCTGTTGACTCTTGGTTGGGGTTTCAGATTTGGTGGCCCTTGTTTTGTTGCTGTGGCAGCTTTTGTGGTCAGGGGATTGGGTTTTCACTGCTGTAGAGTGTGGATGAAATATTCGGGTGGGAGGTCTGGCCATTAAAGCCCCTGTACAGTGCAATTACTTGATAGGCAGTAAACGTGCATGGGTGAGGGATTGTGTTTATGCTCCATCTGCTCAGAATTCATCAAAACGTCTCCAGACTTGACACAGAACCACAAGGGCTGTGGTCCCTGCATCTGTTATGAATCAGTCGTGAACCTGAGGTGGCGTTGTGATTTCTCTTTCCCTTTTGATGATCCTTGAGTGTAGAGTTGCCTTCAACCCTGGAATTAATTGCTTGAGTGTGAAAGCTACCCAGAGTCCCACGCAGCTGCAGAAATAGCTCGCATGCTGTGGACAATCACAGTTGCTCTACTTTCCACTTCAATTTCACAAGTTACACTGGAAATCCTACAACGGATTGACTTTTCCAAGCAGTAACAAAAGTCCCTGCTGTTGAATACCTAAGCTTCAGTTGCAGCAGTAGAAGGAATAATAATCTTTTCTGTAGTGTTTTAATCTCTTTCAGTGGGAATCTAACATCATGTTTCTGCAAGACACAATGGGAAATCCAAGACATGAGTTTAAAAGCTGATGTTTTTATGCCTGCTGCTCTGTGGTTGTGTTTTGGGGCTTCCCACATTACATATAGATTAGCCTAGCTTTGCTGAGCTCTCTATAATGACTCCATTGACTTTTCTTCCTTATTATTTTTACTCAGGAGTTGTAGTGGAATGCCTGCATATACCAGGGATTAACTGGGGGATAAATCTTCATTCTTCTTTATGAAAAAATGTCCAAAGGAATGCAAATCAGTTTTACTTTTAATGTGCTTTGTGACAAGTAAGTTAAAAACGTTTAACTGAAAATCTTCAGGAGGAGAAATACAAACAACTTCAAGGCCCAGCTGTGTACTTTCCTGGGATACTATCAGGCGAGCAAAGAGCACTCTACAGTGCAATGGCCTTGATGGCTTTTTAATGATCCTAGGTATTTTCACATCTTCATTAGGGAGTTGCATTTAGAAGGATATTGTTCTTGCATGAGTTTGGGAATAAAGGGGTAAAGGACAAGAGAATACTGAAAAGCTGCAAGTACACTTGATTTGTCAGCCAGAATGGTAGAAAATGACTTTATATCCAGCCTTGAATGGATCAAAAGCTGTACCACTGTGCGGAAATACACAACAGAGAGGAAGCTGTATGGTTTTGGGAGAAAGCACAGACTTTTTTCAAACTCTCTAAACCCCACAGTTTCGATGCTCAAGTCTTAACCCCTCCAATTCCCTTCTTTGGACCCAAAAAGTACAATATTTTCTAGATCTGTTCTGAACAGCAGATTTATACAGGATGCTAGAGATGTGCCCTGCCTCTGAGGTTGACTGCAAGGGGCTGGGCGCCTCCAGTGCTTCTCTCTGTCCTGTGCTGGTGCTGGGTGTTTTCTCCCTGACCTTCCTGCCCCTGCCTTCAGGAGATGGAAATCTGCCTGTCCCAAATCACTCTCCTAAGTCATGGACGAGCACTGAAGTCAGCCGGGTTAAATTGCTGCCAGCAGTGACATTTCCTGCCCTGGCCAGGGCTGGAAAAAATGGAGCAAATACAAGCCAGAGCCATGAGTGAATGAAAAAGGATGAGAACCTGCAACTGGGCAGTTCTCAGGCTGCTGAGATATTCCCATAATTGCATGCCATTAAACCCACAGCCTGGTCGAGGGTCATGACACCTTTGAGGCAAAGAGCATGTAGGGTGTAGGTCAGCTACAGGTATGGGGTGGAGGTCCCTGTTTTTGGGGGAAGAAGTGAAATCAAGGGCTAGGCTCCCTGACAGCATTTTGTAGGGTCAGGGGGAGCTGGGAGGGGAGGTCTGGCTAGAGATCAGCAGCAGAGGCACATGAAGGCTGAAGCATGCCAGCCACCCAGCATTGAATCCCTGTGTCTGTGTCACCATCTCTCTGCACACAGGATGTGGGGGTGTGATCTTCTGCACTTGGCAGTGGTGCTAAGAGTTTTCTGGAGCCCCCCAGGAAATTTATACTGATAAACAGATGTTTTGAGATTCTTCTACCACTTTTCCCTCTTGCCCTTGTGTTGTGTAATTTGAGGCAGAACTGCTGGGAGCTCAGAAAATCACCTCCACAACAAGCTGGAAAAAAATGCTGAAAGCCACATGAGATGTACCTGCTACCAAAGCATCTGAGCTGCTGGAAGGGGTCTTCCAGCCTGTCCTTGGGAACCCTGAAAAAGGCAGCAGCTTGGAAGTTGTACGCAAGAAATGGTGTTTAGTTTGGAAGCACAGTTATGAGCCATATGAAATAATGCCATTTCGTATGAGGATTACATCTGCTTCCTCATCTGCTTTCCTCTGGTGACATTAGCAACCAAGAGGAGGCTGCTGGAGATGTTCCCAGTGAGTGGAGGAGGTCAGCTTTCTTTGTATTGGCATTTCTGCCCTAAGGAAGTGTAATGGTAGCAGCCAAGGAGGGATTTTTCTTCAAACTGTTTATGAAGAGAGTGGGACAGGTGATTGCCTTCCCACAGGTGGGAGCCCGGTGGCTTTTTTACTTTGAGCTGCCTCATCTTGAATGAGGCACCTGTGGAGCACAAGCTGAGTTGTTGGTTGGCCTGCTGGTCTGCATGAGCAACCTGAACTATGGCTCATGTCATTTTTGGCATGGATTTACACATGGGTGTAAACCAACCATTGGCTTAGGAGAAGCAGTGATGAAAATAATAAAACAATTAATTACTAAGAATTAAGGCCTGTGTCATCACAAATGGTAGGGCACCAAGATCTGGTTTTGGTAAAAGTTGTGCCCCTTGTAATTATCATTTGAGGATCTAAAAGTTTAGTCAGGGATCTGACGTCCCTCTGAGCAGTTTTTGCCCTTGGTTTGACTTAAGGAGAATGTAACTATAATCCTCTTTCAGAAAGTATTTTGTGTTCCTATATCCAAAGGCTGCAATATCTTGCCAGACAAGTGACAGAAATGGAATTTGTTGCTTGCATGCATTGGGAAGGGATGGGGGGACAACACTTCTGCTGTGTGGGTAACTAAGAAACAGCAGAGGAGCTAAGGAGCCCTTTTAGTGTGTAGCAGAAGGACCTCCAAAGAGGCAGTGCTGTCCAGGCAGCAGGTTGCAAGCCACGAGGCCAGACCAAGGGGCTGCCGTGCACAAGGACATTTCCTTCCACATACCAGGGGCAAACATCAATGCAGAAAACAATACCAAGCACTTCTCCACATCAAAGATGACCCTGAGAAGGCTTGCCAAGAATGTGACTGCATCTGCCTCAGTTCCAGCCATCTGTGGGCCTGTGCTAGGCCTTCAAAGCATGCTGGAGCAGCAGTCAGCTCAGATTTAGGGCTGGGAGTGCATGGATAGGACAGTGGATTTTGAGCTGATGATGTCTTGCAGGAGTACTTCAGTCCACTGACATGGTTTTGACTCTTTTTTTTCTCTGCCCTGCGCTTTGGTTCTGCTGCTAATTTTGAAAACAATGTGAGGGATAATTA